TAATTTATGCTCATCACTTTCTTTGAGAATTAACTCAAATCCAATGCCTCAGAAAAATCCACAGCTTTTCTATGATTTCCCCCACTCCATTCTAAACTCCCTTCAGCCTGGATATGGGATTTTGGCTCTATTGTGTAGCTTTTGTACAGAGTCAGCTTTACACAATCTCAGAGCCAGAAGGGCCTCTGCAGTCATCCAGCTCAGAGCTCTCATTTCCCAGTGAAGAGGGTGAGGCTGGTCCCGGACACACAGCTGGTCAGCCTTTAAGCCAGAATTATGCCCCAGAGCAGTTGTTGTGACCTTCTGTTTTGTGTTGCTTGATTGATTCACATGTGGTATTTGGTCTCCCCAGCAGGAAGCATTTGCCGCAGGGACCTCGCCTTTTTTCCTCATCCAAAGATTTGTTCTCACTTCTGTGTCCAGACTAGGCGCACTGGAATGATTGGGAGCTAGCCTTTGGGAAGCAGATACAGTAATGTGCAACTATCTTTTTTGGTCTAGTACTATTTTAAAGTGTCTTCAAGTTTTATTTTAATATTTAAGACTTTTTTTATCCTATCAATTAGTAGAGCTGATTAGCATATATATAATTTGGGTTTTGTATTCTTAAAGTTGTCCTGACATGGAGACTGAACTAAATACTTCTGTATTAACTAGATGATTAGGTAACATTTATTTTACGATACTGTGGAACTCTGTGGCAAGGTGATGAGTAGCAAGATCTGTATCGTAGATGGGCTCCTCTAAGTTTTTTCTAACTAGTGCGGTACAGGGGTAGAGTGCTCCTCACACCCACCCACAGGTTCTGATGAGACCTCTGAGGTTTATACTAAAGGACCTCTCCAGTGGTTCTCAAAGTAGAGACCCATTTGAAGGACAGCATTGTTGAGATGATGAAGGGCCCCTTTTATGGGAAAATTGCTGTGTCCGTGGATGTATATATGGAAATATAATGTTGAAAGCTGGTCTGTGTGGAATAAAGTGCCCATAAACCCATGAATGAATTAACAAACTGTGGTATATGTATACCATGGAATACTAATTAGCCAGAAGAGCAGCTGGAGACTTTACATCTTTTGTGTTTACCTGGATGGAGTAGAAACACATTCTTCTTAGTAAAGTATCACAAGAATGGGGGGAAAAGTATCCAATGTACTCAATGCTAATAGGAAACCAATATATAATTATCTGCATGCCTGCATGAAAGAAATACCCAAGTATATTCTAGTGTGGGGAAAGGAGAGGGTAAGGGGAGGAGGGAGGGTGATTGGTGGGATCTCACCTCATATGCACAATGTGAGGGTGTTCAGCACGCCCCCTGGGAAAAGGGCTCAAGTACAACCTGAACTTTACCTCAGAAATGAAAACAATGTAACCTAACCATTTGCACCTTCATTTCAATCTGAAAAAAAAAAAAGGTACAGTCTGATTTTATGTATCACTGCAATCACCAGATTGCCTGTTTTTATAGGCCTAGATAGTAGCTGAATTCCAACTACTAACTTCCATAAATCCATATTGAAATTGTTTAAACCAGGATTGTCCTCTGCTTCCCCATACAGGAATGACACAGCAAACCTACATTAGTAACAGAAATCTGTTATTAGAAACTGCCCTCACTGTAAGGAGTAGTGCCTGATCCAACCAATTGAAAGTTGCAATAAGGTTGATTCTGTGTTTGGGTCGCCTGGTACCTGTCTTAGAATTGTGTATCAAGTAAATCTTGCTTTCTTTTTATTGTATTTCTTCAATGTAACTACTCACCATTTCTGAGACTATCATATGGATATTCTATAAAAAGGAATAAATGTTAAGGACATATTAATAAAATAATATGTGTATAGTAGAAAGTCACAGAACAGTCAAGTGATCACAGAAGTCTTGTTTATACAAGTGGAGAACTGGCAAAAGTCAATTTAAGTTTTTTACTTCGACCCATTTCTGAGTCTTGCTTTAGGCTGGGCGCTATGGATACTAGCAAAAGCCAAGACTGACGTTCAAGCCAAGACATTTAGTTTTCAAACAAGGCAAAGTTGGATAGACTGGTGTTCGTGAGTTTCTAGTAACTGCGTATTATTTATTATTTCTTGAATATAATGAAACAGAGAATGATAGTTTTTCTTTCTTTCTTTTCTTTTGGATCTGAGAAAGATACTGGCAATCAGCTTCATTCTAGAATTTCATAGATAAGAACACATTTACTTAAAAAATGTAGTAAACTGTCCATTAATAAAAATTCAGGGCGGGAAGAATTTCATTTTCCTCTTAGAGTGGGTGGTATGACTGTATGTCTACGTGTATATGGACCCAATGGCATTTTTATGCATTCATTGGAGAGTTGAAAGGGTCTGTGTTTAGCGCTTGAATATTGGACATGATTCAAATATGAGTCAAGTGTGTCTAGAGACTTTATTCAAACCTATTTTCTTTTTAGTCAGCAATGCTTCATAATGCCTTGGTTTCATGAATTAATTTTAATGGAATTAAACTTGAACAGTTCAAAATTATATAATTAATTTCATTCAGCTTCAATTAAAGTTTCTAATTGAATCACGCCTGCTAGCCTGACACCTGGCGGCAGTTAGCTACATAACAGTAGCTGTGAGTGTGTATGAATAGGGCTCTGCTGATGAGCCGGTTCGTGTGGACTAGTGAGTTTGTGTAAAAATCTCTTTCATTGATAATCTCAGAAAGGCCTTGAGTTGACTGCAGTAGTAGAAAGATTTCTGGAGTTGTTTCAAAAAGTAAAGGTTTTAATTGAAACTAACGCATCTCATGAATCTTCATTTTCTCCAGGATAATGCTGAGTAAAGGTTACATAAATCTAGAACATACTGGTTTAGTGTGCTTTTAATTTGTATTTCACTGCTATTTGAATATGGTTTTGCTTTCTAAAAATACTTAAAATTTGCACCCCTATTTTTCTCAGAGCTCTGTAGCCTCTAGACTTAGTCCTGAGTGGGTGTCTATTTTCATGTGTCGAAATGTGTTTCATGGCAGAACTTTTCAATTGTTGTGAAATCCCCGTGGGGCATGAGAAATTTTTGCATGTGCAGAAATTTTTTCCTTCCACTGGAAATGTTAACACAGTTGACTAACAACTTCTGTTTGAATCTCTTTCCTTTCTTTGCTTCCATGTCTTGACATCATCCAGATTCGCTTACTTCTCTAACTCCTTCCTAATTGTACAGACTCTTCTTGGTACTCTTAGTGTGTTTATTTTTTGGTGATCTCAGTAATTGGAATGACTTCATCAATTAAGTTTGGAAAGATGGCTGTTTTTGGCTATAGCTTTTTTTATGCCCAGAACTCACCCACCAGACAGCACACTCTATGAATGCCCGAGTCACATCTCATCGTTACATTGTGTCCTCATTGTCTAGCACAATGCCTGAGCATCTACTGTGTAAAAATGCAGTAGAACCTCTGTAAGTTGACCTCTCAAGGGACTGTAACGAACTGGTCAACATACAGAGATGGTCGGCATGAGGAACGAGGCCTGCTGTGCTGATACGTACATGTGGGGCGTGTTGCTCTGTGACAGTTAGGTCAGCTTAAGGAGCTGCTCAATGTAGAGAGGTGGTCAACTACGGACGTTCTACAGTGTATATTTTCCAGAAGAATAAATTAGTGTTTTCCCAGTCTAATCCAGGCTGGAGGTGGAGCGTCTCCAGCCCCGTTCCCTTTGATTATCTGAGTAGACCTCTAATTGGTTTCTCACATTCCCTCCCTGGCAGTTTGTTTTCCAGTTTATTAAATTCTCACCAGCTTCTGTGCAGACTTCACCTCGTCTCTCTTCTAGTTTCCCTTACTCGACTCTCCCTCTTAGATGTGTCCTTAACTTGGGAGATTCTAAGGATGTAAGTGTTAGGGAATCATCTGAGTGCAGCCCCTTTTCTTCCAGTTGAAATAGAATCTTTAGTGGTGGGATCCAGGAATCTTTTTTTTTTTTTTTAAAGCTTCAAGTGAATTAAAGTGCAGCCGGGATTGAGATCCACAGATGTGCACAAGTTTATTAATCGACCTCATGCGTGGCTCTGATTAGCCACTCTGTAAAGCTGCAACGGTGGCTTTGACTTACTTTTCTCGCTTTTGAATTAAGTCCAGATTCTCACATTGGCATTCAAATCCCAACACTATGTCTCTAATCAAACCTTTGTAGTCTCACGTCCTAATGTCCCCCTTAAAGTACATCACAGTCCAGAGAGCTGGAACCTTTGCCCAGGTGTCTGCTTTTGGAGTTTGCTCACGCTGTTCTTCCACCTTTCTCCCATCTGGACTTTTTGAAATCCTGCTTACCTTTTAAAGACCATCTAACACATACCGTTTTTTATCATGCCTTTCTTGATCTCTGAATCCTGATGAGTATTTTTTCTTCCTTTGAACCTCTTCAGTGCTCCGCACCTCTCAGAGTATGCATTGTACATCGTATTACAGTTTGCTTTTTGTTTGACTTGTGTGCCCTAAAACAGTTAACGTTTCATACGTATTGTCTTTTCCTCTGAGAACTCGTAAACTCACAAATGAGTTGCTCATCCTAAGTATCCTTCTCGGAGGATGCATTACACAACCCTTGAGTTTTTCCTACATTTCTAAAGGGAGAACTCTGTACTTACTTTCCATCCCTCCCCCTACTCAGTCTCTCCCCATTCACCTGCAGTCTGACTTTAATCTCCATCACCCATCAGAATCTCTTCCCCTTTGACACTTTTCTCCACCGTCCTCACCTTGCATGTAAGGACTCACTCAATTTCATCCTGATGTCTCCTTTCCACATTTCTCTATCATTGTAGGTCACTCGCTGTGTTAAAATTATTTGATTACTAGATTAATGTTACTGTGAACGCCTCTGTTTCTTTAATGCTGGCAGATTGTGGATGCTCAGTAAACGTGTTACTGGGCCAGTGGTGTGTGCAATAGTCACACAGTGTACACCTCCCCCATTTCCTTAAATTATGGCAACCTTAGAAGCCTTTGGAAAATCTGTAAACTAAAAAAAGAGAAATACATGTGACGTTCCATGATAATAAATGCATATTTTCTTTTTATTCAGGGAAATGTGATAAAGACAATCCCGAGAAAGATATAACTCCAGCTACGAATAGCCACTTCACACATGAAGGTGTGCAGGACCTGGCCACTTGGGGTGATCCTCTGGATGGCGAGCTCATCAGAAGTAAGTGTTTTTAGGAAAAAATGTGAGTGATTGGGGGATATGACTAGGATAATATGCTCTCAGATGATTGTCTCATGTCATTCTGCTGCAAATCTGTATGTAGTTGATCAACAGTGTTTTTGATCGTATGTTAAATTACAAAGCTAAACTTAGGATACACATCAATAATGCTGTCCACTTTAATTCCTTCATGAGAAAGGAGGAATTGACCCATAATTTTAGATTATTCTCAGAGAGAGTTAGTGAAAAATCAGTTTCTTCTTAAATAGGGACTGAGGGAGAGTCAGACATCTCTTGAAGTCTATGTGGATTATGAAGCTGATATGAAGAGGGAACTAAACTAGAATGCCCTTGTCCTCTTTGTTCTCCTAGATGAATGAGAACATATATTTTTTTTACAATTAGTATTTTGTCAGTATTTTTAATTTTTTTTCAATACCCCCCTTCTTAAAAGTGCTGTGTAGAATATATACAAAAGCTTTGGTATGTAATCTCCTAGTTTTAACTCTGGAATTTGAAATTCTACCAAAAACACTGTTGATAAGCTGTTGATATATTTTGCTCTGGGAATGCGCTGAAACACTGTATCTTTTGGGTGCTGTTAAGCATACTGATTCCACGTCCCATTCTTGTTCTTGACCTTTTGGAGTTTATATTCTGGTTGCTCAAGTCCCCCCAGGGGGATACAAGATGTATTTGCCACGTAAAAAATTATTCTATGTAGCGAACAGGAAGGTTTAAAGATCATTGTGAGGCCACCCCTGGAAAAGCACAGGAATGAATTTTTGAAATTCTCATTCATAATAACTAAATCACTATGTCTCAGTCTCAGGTTTTCACAGTAGACAGAGGAGGAGGAGTTGTTTCTGGGAATCATGTGTTACTTTATTTTAATTTTCAAAACTGAATTCTTCAGTTGAGACTTCATAATAAAAACTTCTCTTGCGTTGCACGTTACACTTTGGAACTGAGACACTTCTTTCCACTATAAATGCCTCATGCCTGTCCTTAGGTGAGAGAAAAACAGAATAAAATACTAAAAAAAAAAAAAAAAAAAAAAAATAGAAGACGAGACCAACTTAGTAGGGAACAAACAGTAACAATAAAAACACTATTGAAGGAAATTTCCCGTTTTTGAACAAAGGCTCTAAAAATGAGTGTCTTTTAGTTTTAATTTTAGATCAGGTTTGGTTTTTATTCAACACTTTTATCTTGTAGAAGGGAGTAGGAAGGAAGGAAGCGAGACTCAGAAATCAGCGAGGAAGGAGATTTTTATAGCTTTTCCAAAAGAATCAAATAAACATTATTTCAAGTGAGTGTTTATCCCTCAGACGTTTATAAGTTGCCTTTTATCTAAATATTGACTCTGCTGTGGGTGAAACTTACAGTTTGATGGGATCCTGGCATGTTCTATCTGTGATTTCCTGGCAATTAGTTAGTGAGTGTTAGAAGAAGTAGGTCTTAGGGACATTTTGACTCCACCTGTTGGGAAGCAAGATTGTTTTCTCACTTTATTTTGTAGTAACAGAATTTTAAGCATGTGTGTTTCATTTAATTGATTTATTTCTCTAATCTCCTTTTCTAAGGCCCACACTGGGAAAATGTGAGTAAGTTCTCTTAGGACAAAAACAACAAAAGAATACTAAGCCTACTGAAGAAGGAGACAGAGAGTCACATTAATGTCTTAATGTGTTTGTGCTCGATGTTAAAGCTCTTCTTAGTCACAGATTCTGGGTTTAAAGGTTTAAAGTCATAGAATGCGTTTAAGGCCCCGTGCCTGTAGCTCAGGGGTTAGGGTGCCAGCCACCTATCCCCGGCTGGCAGATTTGAACCCAGCCCAGGCCTGCCAAACAACAAACTACAGCAAAAACATAGCTGGGAGTTGTGGTGGGTGCCTATAGTCCAGCTACTTGGGAGGCTGAGACAAGAGAATCACTTAAGCCCACGAGTTTGAGGTTGCTGTGAGCTGTGATGCTACAGCCCTCTACAGAGGGCAACATAGTGAGACTCTGTCTCAAAAAAAAAGACTGGGTTTCAAATGAATTACTCTCCCTATCTATTGTCCATACTGGTTAAGTGGACACTGATCAAAAATATTGTAAGTTGTATGACAGTTTCTTTATTGAGATAACGTTGCACTCTCTGCTGTGAGACATGGGAACATCTGGGAACAACTGTGTAGTTTCCTGCGAATACCCTTTGAAGGGATGCAGAGATAGAGAGAGTTATAGCCTCCTTTGAGAGGGCTTCTGGAAAAACTACCTGATAGATACACAAAGGAGAACGGCCGAAGACAATAGTGTCACTCCTGCCTGCCTGCAACGAGCTGGCAAGTGCTTCCAAATATTTATGAGTGACGTCTGACTCAATTCTGATTAGAAATGTCAAAAACTCTGCTTCTGGTATTTTCACAAACACACTTTTCTGGACAAAGGCTACTTTGTTGGATCAACAGAAAAAAATTGATATCTGGATTCGCAGAAGTGGAACGTTTTATATCATCTTTAAAACTGACTCAACTCTGGAAGGCATTTTAAAGTTTTGTACTGCGGTAGCTTCTGCTGTTCCAAGTCCCTGATAAACCCCCACACAGCTGCCGGACTTTCCTTCTCTGGCTTTCCCCACAGGGTCCTTGGCTATCTTTGCATAATTCAATGTCTGTCTCTCTTAATTCTGAGGTTAGAGAGATGCGTCTTTTCCTCTTGCTCCAGCTAGCCCATTTTGGGATCCTGGTAAATCTTTTGCAATACCAGCGGGCCCTGGGAAGGGAGACTGTGGCTCAGAGATGCGTTGGGGAGGAGACGCAGGCATATCTGTGGTGAGTCAGGCCTGGGCTGGCTCCTGTTCCTGGAGTCCTCTGTGGCTCCCTGAGCACCGTGGAAGAGACGGGCAGCTGGCTCTCCCAGAATCGATGTTAGTGTTCCCACTGTAGTGAGGCTGGCTGGCTGGAAGGATCATCAGAAAAATGAGAACGGCTGGGGTGTGGGAACATTTTCAAACGCACGGCCCACTCTTTTTCCAGGCTTCCATGGCACAGCTCAGCTGCTTAAGCAAGAGGGGAAGGAGAGCGTCTGTTGAATGTGGCTGCTTTTTCTTTCTCTGTTCTTGAGAGTGGTTAGTGAGGGCGGGCAGCGTCCGTGTCCCAGATGGCTGCTGCCTTCTTTGTTGGACATTGGACATAATTTATAGGGGACCATTAGCTGTCACTGTAATGAGGCTGTTTTTACTTTTTTTTTGCTGAGAATAACTGAGCTCTGGAAAGTCAAGGGAGTGGCTGCTTTGGAAATTGTATTCTAATTAAAGGGTGTATTCAAAGGCCTCATAACCGAGATCCAAGCTGAGAATAATTTCCAAATTATTCTGTGATCTTTACCCCTAAGCTCAGTGGACCACCCGCTTGTGGCTCACACTTGCTTCACGCTGCACACAGAAGTCTGCACTTTGCTTTCCCTGGTCCTTCTAGAAAACATTGCAGGTGGCGGACCTGGGGTACCGTAGTGTTTCGGGGCAAGGATTTGAAATTTGTCACCCTTGAGTCACTAACTTATTAGGCAGAATCCTATCTGGAAGTAAGACAAGAAATCCGTATGGAATCAAACATTTCCAATAAACAGGCCACTGGCAATCTGGTCAGGAAGTGCAGTGCACACTGTGATTCTCTTTCTTATGAAATAGAAATTTAAGAAGAGAATTCCAGCCACTTAACTTTGTTTAAAAAATATTCTAAATCAAATTAGTAAAGAATTAAAAACACAATGGAGACTTCATGAGGAAGTTTTATAATTAGTAAGTTTTTTTTTCTGTTTTATGATTTTTTAAAATCCTTTGTACAGTTCAAAGACTTTTGTGAAGTAGTTTGGTGTGTAATTTAATTTTGGGAATGGAGCTTAAAATTTCAGAGCTTTTCAGAGTATCTTTTTTTATAACAGCACCAGTGAAAAGTTTACCTGTTCCCCTTAGATGAGCATATATGGTACAGTATATAATTTGGATCTATGCCTTGGTTGACTAAGTCACTCTCCCTCTGACTTAGTAAAATAAGTGCTGCGATAAAGTGACAACCTCAATTAATATTTGTTTTTTTATTTAATCCATAATATACATAAACTGATAACAGGCAATGGGCGATTTTTCATGTTTTAATTAGGCTGGAAAAGGAAGAGATATAACATTTTGACATCAGTCTCAGTCTTCGGGAAGATTGCTAAGGTAGAGGACAGAGAGAAACAGGGACAGAGATAGAGGGAGAGAGAGCGGGAGAGAGAGAGAGAGGGAGAAAGAGATGGAGAGAGAGAGAGATGGGG